TATTCTTGTTGCTAAGATATCAAAATATAAGTAACTAAGCTTTGATGTTTTCTTGTACTTGTATAGCTGAGATGTTCCTACTTTCAAAGAGAGGAGACAATAGTAAATTAAATTAGTTCTTAATATAACCACATCATGCTAAGGCTTTTGTCAGTTTAATTGTGTTTATTGAAAGTACGACTTCTTCATGTTGTAACCAAATAGACCAGTGAAACTTTCTAGGGCATTGCAGACCAGGCCAGAGTGACTTTTTCATTTACATGTTAATGGAGTCTGCTCCAGTAGAGTTAATTGAAGAACATGCATAAAGATTTGTTTGCTCTGTGGACAGATGCAATGGAAAAATCTGTTTAAAGCTGTACACTAGGGTATGAATATTGATGTGAATGGGAAAGTAAATTATTACAGGAAAGTAATTTTTTATCACATGCACAATATAGTTTGAATTCCATGGAGAGGAAAACGTATATGTGATTTCATACATGCCTTAATTTCAAATAAGAGGCAGCAGTGATTAAGCAAGTAATATACTCTTTGTATCCCCTATTGTGTTTCCTGCAGTGTTTCTATATTTCTATTTCCAAACGTCAGTCTCAGTTGTCAAGGTGGATAACTCAGGGGTGTGTGCAGTATGTCCCTGAAGCCTCTCTGAAAATGTCGGCTTGACCTATGTCTTTCCTTTTCCCTTCCATTTTCTCCATGTCTTCTTCGGAAGCCAAGTGAAAACAGAACAGCTTTCTTAAGGAACCATAAGAAAGCAAGTTTAGTAACAGATTTTTTGGAGGTGTAAGGGTGTTTTCCTGCCAGCTTGTTGGCCACAGCCCACCAAGAGATAGATAAGCCTTGAGCAGCCTTTTCCTACAAAGGAAAATGAAGGACCATAGGCTAGGGCTGAATTAATTTGAAGCTGATGGGAAAATTGTGGTTATTCACCCATTTGTGTGTATGGAGCTAGGAGAAAAAGATGAATTATTTAAATGAAGAAAAGGGGTCCAGACAAACAACCCAACCCAAACAACCAACCAAACAAACAAAAATCCCAACTTGTGAATGCTGTTTAGACTGTTGCATTTTCGGACAATTCCTTTCAGAGAGACTGCTTTTAACTCTGGGCAGATAAGACCTTAATTTGCTTGAGCAAACGTAAGAGTGAGCTCCATCTCAGAGGTCTTTTGATTCCAGCTGTAATTGCAAGAGGGTACAGATATCTTTCCTATGTCCTGTGCTCTATCTGGCACCCCCATGTAGATATCTGAGGTACTCTGGAACCTCTAAAATGGCACTAGACACCTATGTTTAAGAAACATAGCTGTCTAGTTGAGCTGAGGATTAAATTTGGTTTGAGATTAAGACACCTGGATGTAGACATTTACACATAGCTGTTGGCACATGACCCGAGTACCTAAGTCCCAGGAAAAGGTCATAAAATCAGTGCTGAAATGTAGTGCAATTTGAGATAATCTTGGGCTTATCTGAGACATCCATGTAGGGCTGGCAGAAGTGACAGAGTTCTGAGACACTTAGGAGTGGAAGATAGAGACCAGGTAAGTCTCCTTATGCATTGGAAATGCCAGCATCCAAGTTAGTTTAGTCAGCTAAATTGTAAATACCAAATTGTTATTTGGTATTTAGTGAAAACAGAAATAACACAGTTTTGCTAAAATATAATTTCATTGTTTTCCCAGATATTAGCAAATTACACATCATATCATTTTGATGTTGTATGTTTTCTCACTGCTCATAAATACAGTGTGGCTAACCACAGTATTGACAAAGATATGTTCAGAAAAAAATCAAAGATACATTTGGCATTGTTACAGAAATTGAAACATGAGTGCAATTCCATAGGTTGTTGAAGCAAATTTCAAGCCCACTGATCCCATGAACTCCCAGAAAACCAGAAAGTGATCAAAATGCAATGATGTTCTTTGTTCTTTAACCTTATCTTCTGCAGGGGCAACAAGAAATAGTAAAACCTTAGAAGTGTCAAGGCAAACCACATGACATGAGAATTCCCATGGGCAGAAGAGAGGCTGAGAAAAAGTTTGTGCCACTATTGAGCTACTACAGTAGCAGCCTGGTCTCTGCCATATGCTTCTGCTACCTCCTGGTACTTTCTTTGGAACTTACCTGATCCCATGGAAATTAGATTTAAGAGCTTAAATTGGCAATAAATTAAAATTTGCAAAGAGATGATTGGACATTTTTCTACTAGTTTATTGAGTTGAACCAGTTCACTCCAGAGGTGGGCATGTGCCAAAGCCAGCACAAATGGAGAAGACTGGAACAATGGTAAAAGTGTGACACTTTTCATAGCAACTTGCTTTTAGGTGGACTAAAGTATCACATATAACCATAGTCTCAGGTAGATAGGCCTGTTGTTTTTAAAACATTCTGGGCTCTTGCAACATTCACAATATGCCTGTAGTATTATCTTTCCCAGTGGAAAAATGCTTTGAGTAATAAAAATTTCATGCTATTTGTTTTCCTTTTACAGATTTCTAATATATGGTGCTTTATGAAAGCAGATGAAAACCCTGAGTTGTAGGAGTGCCAAACTCATCAGACTGCCAGGTAAAGAATAGAAGATATGGGGAGTCTCACAGCATGCCAAGCCCAAAGCCCAGACTCTGCAGTGTTCCCTTTGTAATGGAGCTCCCTCATCCTGCCTTGGAGGTACATGGGGTGTGACTGTCACAACCTGGCTTTTACTCTGAGCAGCTGAAAACAGCACACCCTGCACACAAGTAAGCAGATAGGACTTCACAGTGAAACTATGTGTGTGGGGGGAGGGTGTCCTGTTCATCACACTGCATCTTCACACTAATGTGTGCGTAATTTAGCTTCACATTTGTTACAATTTGCACTACTGGGAAGTTTTTACCTTATAAATTGTCTTTCATATGTTTATTTCTGTAGCACACAGACCTAATAAGACTGAGTCAACAGGAGCTGCTAATCTAGTCCTCTCAGATATGATGTTCTACAAACAGGATGTCTAGTTTCTTTGGATAGGAGCTGGATTTGTTGGATACCAACAGTTTGATTACTTTATGCAGTCTCCTAATAGCCAAAAGAAATTGGGAACACTAAGTAGCCTTTAATTTAGGGCAAACAAAGGTTAAAGTGGCAAGAAGGGAGAAAGAAACAACAGGACTGAAGTTCAAATTATACCTAAGATTTTTAATAGTATAACTCTGATGCAAATTTAGGTGTGTAATGAAAGTATACCAACCCTGGCTTTGCTGTCCCCACAAATGCTATGGCTGCACTGGGATCTTTTGGGTATCCCCACTAATTCTGCTGCTTTAAGCACATTGATCAGTTGTCTGTGAAGAGAGACTACAGGAAGCAGCCCCTAAACTTAGATCCTCTGCATCAAACCTTGGTTAGTTGCCTCAGGTAGCTTTAAACAGATGGTGTAAAACCCCTCTTTTCTATGTAAGCCAGTCAGTGGACCATTTGAAAACACACACACTAACAGTCTACAAAACTGCAAGAGAGAACTTGGGGTCACTGCAAACCATGCTGTTTCCAGCATTTGCATCTAAACAACAGGCTCTCTGATGACACAGACTTAGAAGAAATACACTTATTTCACTGGACTACATAAAATTGATGGAAGGAAATTAGCAGTAAAGAGTTTCCAGATCAGGGTTTGGCCTCTTGGGGGTAACAAAGTAGATTCTGAAAGATACAGAACAGCATTTCAGCAATTGGGTACCATGCTTTGCTAGGTTACTTAAGACATTACCAGTAATGTATTGCTTAGTTGTACCCATGTACACCATTAAAGTTATTCCAGTGTGGCATAGAGTGAGCAAGCTGAGGTCAAAATATGCCAGCTGGAGAATATTAGGGAAAAATGTTCCTTCAATTTCTGCTTAATGTTCTGATAAAAATAAAGAAGCCACTCACTGGCACTATGGATGTGTTTACTTGCACTACATTATGACTACTCTTCTTGACTTACACGGGCTCCTGCAATATCTCTTGCCGTTTCCCATTCTTGAATTTCTCACATATTTTCCAGGAAGGAGCAGTTTATGTTCATCATGTTTCTTTTGCAGGAAAAATAGAAGAAAAAAAAATATTATTAACTGTAGCAAGATGTTACTGTAGTTGTTTTGGGGTTTTATTTTTACAATAAAACTATGTTAAAAGGAAAAAATTATATAAACACATAAGCCGCATTTGGCAATGGTATACATAAAAGTTTCATGGAGACAAAACCCTATAGGGTTCTTTTGGAGCTAATTATTCCAATATGCAAATTAAAATTGTGCATTATTCATTTTTGTCAAATAATTTTCATTTGCTTTGGTGTTCTTATAATAAAAATCTGCCAACAGGGTTTCCTCTTAACTCATCTAAGGAAGCCTGTGAAGAACACTCCATATTTAACTCTCTTTTAGATCACTGTGGCTTGAGAATACTTTTAATCTCTTTTCCATTTATAACTGTACTGCTTGACCTTTTTGCAGCAAGGTGTCTTGTATATAAAATGTCAAAGAGAGGATTATAGACATGGGACAAAGATATAGTTTAATTAAAAAAAGTCCTGTGAGACTGAAAAAGGTTACTGGCCCAGATCACAAATATTTAATGCCAGATTACTATTTATGATGTTAAAATAACAAAAAAGGGTTTATGGGTAACTTGTAATTGACCAACCTTTACAGGTGCATATGATAATATTAAGCTTCAAGTAATAACTTTCATATTAGCTTGGAAATTAGTTTTAAAAATTTAAGAAATATTTCCTTAATGTTTTCTGTGTATTATAGAACTATCTCTACAACATGAAATAGGTTAATGGTTGAAAGTCTGTTTCTAATTCAAAATGGTTCTGTAGGAAAGAATAAAATAAAGTGTGAATTTTTGAAATTTATTCACATGTTCTTTATTTTCCATCTCTGACATTTAAGCTTGGATAGGAGCATGGGCTCAATACTGAAGGAATGATTGAGAAAGACTAACCTAGATTTTGTTGCTGATTTTCCCCACAGAAGCAGTGAATACATTTCCAAGCTGAATGGTTCTACCAGGTTTCTCCACTTCTGTTCATCCCATGTGATAATGAGATGGAACAATTATTTTTGTACTTCATAAACAAAGGGAAGGCCATGGACAAGTATTCCCAGAAAGAACCTAATTTACCAGTTAATGTATGAATTGAAATGAGTGCATGATGGTACTGACTTGATTCAAGATTGGGTGTTAACAAATCAATGATCCAGCAATGGAGAAACAAGGAAATTTGAGGCCCAGTTTTAAGAGTAGATCACCCACAGATCTCCTTGGTTTTCACTGACAAACTCATGGAGACATCAGAGAAAACTGGCACACTATTTATGCAACTACCTCAGTAAAGATGCAGTAAATGCATTGTGTAGTGATAATTTGATTTTTATTTTTTAATATAAAACAAATTTCTGTGATTTTTGGTTAAACTTCCTATATAAAAGTTGGTGAAAAAAGCATAGATAGATAAAGTATAATATAGAATTTTCCTGGGTCTAAATATTTTTAGGGGAAAGTGAGGAAAAAGGGTAAGATGAAAAAATCCTTCTCCTGCATAGCAGTAGTAATAAGAATCTTCTATAAATATCCATGGTTGAGTTTGATTCTGGGCAGAAGTATTAGGAATATTATTCTAGAAAAATGCTACCAGAATTCCCATGAGAAGCCCCAAGTCACTACAGGGCACTCTGGAATTTCTAGTCTGAATGGAGAAAAAAATCCTGCTAATAAAGGCACTGCTTAGTTCTGTTCTATTATGCCAGCTAGCACACTTCAATAATGATGATAGTATAGCAAGTGCAGGTAAAGAGAAGACTGGTGATGAGGATGAGGATTTGGAGAGCAGACTGCCCAAAATGATGACAGTATTTACTCAACACCCTGTTGGGTGAAGGCATACAATAATTTTTATCTTGTAGTTCTGAAGAGTTGATAAATGGAAAAGCAGATATTCTAAATAAACCTGTGTGGGTACTGCCTGCTTGGAGAGCAGCACATACCGTACAGACAGGATGATCCACCCCTGGAAGTGCTCCAGGCCAGGCTGGATGGCGTCCTGTACAACATGATCTGGTGGGTGGCATCCCTGCCCAAGGCAGGGGGGATGGAACTAGGTGAACATAATGGTCTCTTACAACCCCCATTACATACAGCAATACTTTCTATGATTTCAGAAAAAAAAAAAAAAATCCTGAATATCTTAAGTCATTGTAGCCTGATCTTAAGATTACACGGCAGTACTACAGTAAATAGATGTTAATAATTAAAGACTTGTAAGTAAACAGAAAATGTAATATGATGCAATATGAATTTTCCAGGATCATCACTGAGGTATTCTACTTTTATTAGAAGATAAATTTCATAAACAAAGGAAACATGATGGATATCATCTAAGAGGAGGTAAAAAATTAGGCACTGTTTCATGTAGAAATTGATAGATAAGTTACAGAAGATGGGCATTACCAAAGCAGTAAAGAAGACAGGGAAATGTATGGGTCATTGTTAACACAGTCATGAAAGATGAGTTAGGAAAATTCTGCTTTTGAGTTCCTCCAAGTCACACTAACAAGTTGTGACTGATCTTCAGTATAATATACCAGACTAAAATACATTAAAACAACAAAATCACCCAATGTTTTCAAAGTAAATAATACAAGATATGAAGTCATTTGTTTGAAGGTCAGTGACAGAAGTTCCTTCTTCACACTGCTGACCTTCTGCTTCTCAGAACTCTCAGGCTGTTGGGTACCCTGGAGCAGAGACCTCCAGTATCTGCCAGTGTTCTAAGTGTCCATGAAAAATAGCTATTAAGTAGCACACAGACCTCAGCTGAGTTCCCAGACACTGTATTACTGAGCTACTGTCATTTCCTATGGGTCAATGAATATTGATTAAAACCAGCATTTTCTGCTGGGCAGTTTACACAGCTCCTACCCTGCTTATTGGCAGTGGGTTATTTCATTTTTCCCAGCTTACCTCTCCCATGTGCCATACAAACCTGGAGCATAATCGACCACTATGGTGCAGGGTTTGTACAGGCTGAGCATTGCAACAGCCAGTGCTGTGTCTCCTTCGTCTTCTTGTGGATCTAAACCTCAGCACCTGAACATCATACAAATATGAGGTTAAATCAGATGTTTATTTAATTCCTGCACACGCCCATAATTTCAATCGACATAGGCTGTTAGTGTTCAGTCCAAGGTTTGGAATGAAGTTAAGTATGGACCTGAAAACAAATGCCATGGATTTTTGTATTCAGAAATATTTGGTATGTGCTCAGCTTTTAATAAATATTTTGTGGAAGTAGAACTCACTGGTATAACCAGTTTTCTTGACCAGCTCTTGACAGAGCTGTATTAAAACATAGAAACGTTTTCATTTTCAATATGCATATTGCAGTCATATAACTTGACCCTTCCCTCATCCTGATGTACACTTTTTCTTGCTTCTGAAAGAGTATGAAGTTTTCAGTTTATGAAGGGGAAATACATTTAGTAACACCAAGTACTGTGATCCTGTGGGTTCTGTGAAATGCTGCCTATGCCACCAGATTTACACTTCAGATTTCTCAACTCTGACATAGTTGCCATGTAACCATTTCCCATCCTGTGAAACATAATGGACTGATCCGGCAAACCTGACAGAGACAGACCTCATGTTGACTTTACTAGCTCCCTCCAGCCTTTATTTCATCTGAAAGGCAATAACAGAAAGGATCATTGTCATCTGACATCATTATCCTTAGGCATGGAGTTCAGATTTTGCCAATTTCTATTGGACTCCAGTAGAACATAAGAAAGGGTCTCCCATAGCATGTCAGCAAAAATTACTCCCAAATGCATATGCTTTTTTTTTCCAGAGTGGTGTTTTTCAGACATAGGGCCATGACTCTTGTCTAGGTGTGCAGAGAATGACAGGGATCTTCTTCAGTACCCTCTTTTCAGATAGTACTTTTCAAGTTTTACTCTGCTGGGTAAGACTTTAAAAACATGGCTTTATAAATCACCTATAAGCAGAATTTGGTGTAGTGATGCCCATTTGAATTAACAGAGGGCCTGAAAAATTGGTCATATGGGAAGCAGATTGTTCATTCTCTACCAGAAGTTCCCTGAGCACCTTCCTTACATAGTAGAGCACTTAGGGTAAATATACACCCAGGGTACTGATTCACATTACAGTTAAACTAAACTAAGGACTTGCTTCTAGTAAAAGCAGGGGGTGTCAGTCCCTTTCCCACCTACTTTGTTCCTTCCTCTTTTGTGTCTGCTCCCAGAAGCTTGATGATTTCTTCCTTTGCACTGCCCTGGCAGCCATCTGATCACACATTAAACTGGGCCAACATGCTAACCTTGCAAAAAATTAATATTTTTGAGGCATTTTTGCTAGCCGTTTTTTTCCTGCAGCTTTAATGAAGTAAATTTGACTCTTCAGCCATCCACTGAGCCTTGGCTTGGTCTGGTGGCAGGCCACAGCTGGGCTTCAGTCTGCAGTGTGTGTGCAGGGAAAGCAGGGGTACAGTGCAGGGCAGTGGGACCCCACAGAGGTTACAAGAAGCCAGTACCTCTGTCACCACCTCCCCCAAGTATGAAGCTGAAGGCAAAACTTTGGAGTGTTAAACATTGCCTTCAGTTCAGATTTTGTTCTATCCACTTGAATTCCCATCAAACTTATTGAATCCTCCATTTTCTGTTTTTAAGGGAGGGTTGATTGGATTACAACTGAATATGCAGAATGTACATTTGAAAAGACACACAAGGGAGCATCATAAGCTGTTTGCCCTTCGTACATTTCTAAGGCAGTGATAACTGTATCCCAGACCCTAAAAGCCATACCCTTTAACAGACTTAGACACCCAGTTACCTGTAACTCCAGAGCAGGCCAGCACTTTGTGCAGTGAAAATTCTTGATCTGCAAATTTAAAAACTGAAAACTTTTTCAAGTATGTTCACATTTCCTAAGCAAAACTCATTTAAATTCTCAGGGTTGATCTTAAACTTCAAGCCAGCTCACCTGATTTGTTATGTGCCCAGTAGCTATTGACAAAAATATTACTCACTGTTCTAGTCTTTTTTTTTTCCCAGAGAAATCTTCCTTATCTTGTGTCTTTCACAAGTACTATTTTCCATAATCCATCAGATTTCATATTATCAGATTGTTTGAAGATGTATGTTCAGATTTCTTTGCTTGCTTAGCAGTATGTAAACATTGGAGACCTCAGTTAGATTTATATGACAAAGGAAGTGACAGGATCTCTTTGACAAAGCTAAGCAAGGAGTCTAAAATGTTAGACTTCTGGAAGTTGTAGGTTGAAATTAGTGGTTAGGACTTGTCCTCCACCAGTGATACAACAGAAGCACAGTGTAGTTTACCTATATACGCCAGTGAGTAAACTCAGGGGTTTCCTGTGGGGACTAAGGTAATTGGCCTGTTCAAAAGCTAAATTTGGTGCCTATCAATAATTTTGCATATTTGATAGCTTCCCTGACTTTTCTGTGGGACAACATGCTGCCATAGAAGACAGGACTAAAAGTGGTGACTCATTAGGTACTTCTTATTTTTGAGAAGAATTCAATCTTAGTTCTAGATGATCATGCATATACACATAACATAAAAAATTAATTATGGATAAGATGTTATGATAAATACAGAGAAGTATTTGCAAGTTTTGTTCACTTGGAAGTTGTTGGTATTTAAATAAATTATTAGGGAGTAGACACAGATATGGCCTTTTTGGTGAGGATGAAAACATAACTTGCCACATCTCACAGTTATCAGATCTACAGTTTTTGCAGTGGCATAGCTTCTCTTGGTTGGAGTTTCATCTTGAGGAACCTTTTACAGGCCGTGTGAGAAAAACTTCCCTACCTGCACGACCCTGGAGTCTGTGTTCTTGAGTGGTGTAGGTTTACTGACAGCAGTATTGCAGATAATCAGTAAAATGTCCACAGTGTGGTTTTATGGCAAGTTCTACGGCTGTAAGTGTTGTCATTGCCATACAACTCCCTCAAATCAAGCCATCCAACTGTTTGTTCAGCATCATCTGCTACTGTGCTAGAACTTTTCTAATACCATTTGAAATTTCTTACTAAAAATCTGAAAAAATACCTTAAAATGCACTATTTTCAAGTTAGGTTTTGAAAGCCATATGATCATCTGCCCTTCAGGGCCACTGAAGTCTTCTTATGATGTAGCAATATATTTTATAGTACAAGAAAATATGTGAAAAGATGCAAATAATTAATAGCACCACAAACTCTCTTTATCATAACATTATTTAATCTCAGAAGACTTAATTTTCTTTGAAGCTATCTTGAGAACCATCATCAGGAATCATAGGTCCTAGGTTGTGGAATTCCAGGAACCATGGAAAATGCAAGAAAGAGTAAGCAAATGCCTCTCTATTTCTGCTATCTTTGAGTTCACCAGATTGGTCTGCCTGTTCAAAGAAACTTAAAAAGGGTCAGATTTGGCCAGCTGGGAATCCCTGCTATACTGTCCATATGTTTTAACAGGTGGAAGGGTTGCTCAGCTCTTCGCTCTTCTGCTAGGAAATGGGCAATGCTTGGAGGTGTCCAGGGGATGCCCATTGGGCTGGACCAATTCCAGCACTCTGAAACTGCAACAAATAGGGTAAGGAAGAGGCATTTACAAAATCAGTCTTTAACCCCTGTGCAGTGGTGTGAAGTAGCTTCCTTCAGGGAACATAGAGAGCCGCTGAACTAGGCTCCTGCTTTCAATCTCTTTCCAGTGACTCTGCTGGGACCTTAGGGAGAGAGCTTAATTGGTCCTCCCTGATACACTGGTATAGATAATGATAAAAATCATGCTCATTTACTCCATAATTTAAGATTAAAATTCTACCAAAATGCATAAAATTCATAATCACCATTGTAGTTCTATTTTTATGTTTTATGCTCCATTCACTAAATAAAAGGCATATGGAGAGGGAGCAGGAGAGAGACAAGTAGAAATCAAGTTAACACAGAGCAAATGTGTCAAGTAAAGTCCTTGGAAGCTTTCAAGGTCAATATAATGAAAAAGTGTGTAGGAAATCTAACAATTTAGCAGGCAAAATGTCCTCACATTTATGAGAAGTCAGGTAGAAGAATATGATTCTGCATTTGCCATACTGCTGTTCACATTTCCTGTAATTTTAGTTTGTTGTTCTTAATAATAAGAGATTATTGGAGCAAATAACATAAATTTACACCTCCATCTATGGCAGGCAACAACTGCTGTGCAACTGAAAGAAGAATTCTCACTCCACGCATTTGAGGACAGTATTTCCAGAGGAATCTCTCAGGACTCATCACTACTCTTCTGAGAGAAAATTACAGGCAAACATTCACTGTCAGGTGAATAGACCTTTAGAAATGAGGATTTCCTTAGCCCAGGAATATTTAGGATTTCATGGTTATGTAAAGGACCTTTACAACATATCATAACACACTTTTGATATTTAACATATTGCATAACCAAGGAACTTTAAGCTGTAGAACAATGCAGTTATAATTTTATCAAGGTTATATGTCTAATGAGATATATTTTAAATCCATTTAAAAAGTAATGCATGACCTTTTTTAGCACATTTTCCATCCACTTTAAAATAAAATTATAAATCTGTCAGAATTTTAGATTCCTTTGGATGCAATTTTGTATGTCTATTTTGAGGGAAAATTTCAAATTTTCAAAGCTTTCCTATAAAGCCTGACCTACAGGAACTCTACCCCCGCCCCCCACCCCCCCAAAAAAAAATAGTAAAGTATGTGTCTTTAGTGCCACTGATTTTTTTTTTTTTTCTTTTTTGATTATTTTTGAAAATACAGGAGCTGTCTGCTGTGACAGTTACAAATCTGTCAGGTTATGTAAACTGGGAAAGAAACAAAGAAGATGGTATTAAAAGGGTTGCCTACAGTTTCTGAGAATTTCAGCTGCTCGTTCTGTCTCCCTGGGTTTTTGTGCTCTTGCTGCATAGTTAAGACTTGAGAAGCGTTGGTCTCCAGTTGTAGAGATGGTAAAAAAGGCTCCTTAGACAGGTAGGAATGACATTGTTGTCTGTGTAGCACTTGGAACCCCTGGTTTCTTTATGCTAAAGGCTCACTAGCTTTTCCTGATCCTTAGCAAGCTCCAAAATAAACTTCCAGAAAACGAGGTAGGTTTAGATCAAAATGTTGCCTGTATTTCAAAAGAGGATTGCCAAATATACATGCACCTATATAGTTAATATTATTTTAAAGTAATTTTTCAGGAAGAAAATTCTGAAGGTGCTAACTATCTCTCATCCTATGACATTGCCGTTAGTTAGGCTCCACTGAAAGAGTGACTGAGCAGTCAGGGATAAAAATAAACTGCTGGTTCACATGTCATTCAGGCTCACAGAGAAAGATTCAGGACATGCTGACTAAGCAGTGTTTGACCAATTAAAGTGGCTCTTTTGTGTTATTTTTTATTAACTACTCTACTGATAATTATTAATTTAAACTATTATTATTAAATGAGTGTCAAAAGTTGCAGTGGTTTAGGTCTAGGCTAATATTCCTCCTATGCTATCTGTCCTTTTTGCCTATCAGGGGTTTTATTCCTTTTAACCTCTAGGGAACATGAAGAACTGTTCTAGCTCTAATAATATATAACTTTAAATGGTTCCCAGGATCACTTTTAACAAGCTCTCCTACCATACCTAGAGCAGGGACTAAATGTGTTTATGTTGTTGATATACTTTGCTGTTGGACTGTGATCAGGTGCTCATGCCAGTTTCATTAACTTTTTTGGCAGTGGTTTATGCAGATGATTACAAACTGAAACTAATTCATTTTCAGGGTCTAGCAGCAGTGGGAAGAATTGATTTTTAAAGGCTTATTTTACACAGAAAACACAGTGGTACACCATGGCTCGTGCAGTTCAAGGAGGTCATAACAGTCCTTTAGGGTGAATTTTTGCTATTGTCTCCTTCTCAACATGTTTGGCCTGCAGGAAAAATAGAGGAACATTGTGAACTGGTGATAACTACATGGAGCCATGTTACCAGACTAGCTCTTGCAGATCCATGTTAGCAATGATGAAGAGGTATGTTTCTCTCTCAGCCAACTGGCTCTGACTATGCCAGTGGAGCAGGAGTTAACACCCAGAGCTATGGAAGGGATATTTGAGGTGCTCCTACCATGATGTGTGCTAGAAAACACAGAGCCTCTGGGTTTGATTACTCCTAGTCTCTTTTCAAACAATCTCCTCTAGGCTGCCTTTTCAGACAGACACCTTCTGAACAGAGAAGGCTCAAGCTGTGTCCATAACACCCAGTAACAGCATGGACTGAAGGGTTAGCTGAGTTGGAAGTGTAAAGTGTGCATGACAAAAAATTCTAGAGTAGTTTTCAATTTTCCTTCCTGGCTAATACCTGGAGGAAGTGTAGCTAGATAGGATTCACATGCTGCTAGTTTAAGCACTAACATGCTTACCACCAGTAAGATAGACTGCTCTCTGGACAGGTGGCCACCAGTCAGACAAGAGAAGTTGTAATAATCTGTTCTTTGACCTTTCTGAGGTCTCCAAGATTTCTACTGCTTTCTAGCTTGGATCAAAGTTTAAATAATGATAACATTTTTCTCTTGAGTCCTTCAGTTACCAAAGAATTCCAATGATTTCATTTCTATCAGTGTTTTTTTTATCTTTCATATATTTCACAGCTTTAACATATAAAATACCTCATAGCTCAAATTTTTTTAAACAAGTAGACCAATATAACACATTTCTGAATACAAAAATGGATGGTGTCTCATAGACATGTACAGTTCAGGGTGTTTTACCTCTTCTACCCAGTAGATATTTTCACTCAAGTTTAGGGAACTTCCAAGCTCACCTTTTCTTCATGGTAAATAAGAACATTGCAGATGCTGATGTTCTTCATCCCCTCCTGTTCAGTCCTGGATGCCCATCTGGAGTCTTTGGGCAAGAAAAGCTAAGATATGGTTGGTGTGGCCAACTTTAGGGACATAAAACTGAGGGTCAGATGAGTTACAGCAGGCACTGGTGGCATAGCAAAGAGTACTAGAGAGATTCTGTGTGTATAGTCTTCAGGAGATGACCATGTTCACGAGTTTCATATTATAGGGCAAATTGATATTGTTGGGCTGATTCATATATATAGGATAGAACTTCATCTCACAAAGGTAGTCAATTGCAGTGATCTGTTCACCAGATGTATTTTAGACACCACTTAAAAGATCAAATTCACCTAAAACAGCTCTGGCTTTTTATGTGGGAATGGCTGGCATGATCACTGTCTCTGTACCATCTATCTTTGTTTCTGCATACTATTTGAAGTCAAATAGCTTATTGACCACTTCTGTCAGGTATTTACTTTTGGGGATGAAATAGCTGAATATTTCTCATGGAAAATTCTTACCATGGGAATTGTCACCTCCTCTGATTTGTAGCTCTGATTTGTAGCTTAGATAAAAGTCACATTTACTTACTCTAGGCCTTCCTTAGAGCTAGCCTGGGCAAGCAGCCAGAGAAAAAAGAAAGAAAGCACCAGACTGGTTTGGTTCATGCCAATTTTTGATAGCGGTTATTCTGGAGACTTGATAACTGCAGAAGTCATAAACAGTGCAATAGCCAGTGTGATACTAAAAAACCAAAACTGATAGCCTATTTTTAGAGATAGTTTGAAGTTCACTTTGGGACAAAAAAGGGCTGGAGATCACACTACAGAAACAAGGGATTATGTGATTGCACCAGTTGCATAGAAACTTCCAAGCGTAAATCTTTTTAAAGACTTTCCATATGAGGAAAATGTCATTTGGAAGACCTGAGCAAGTGTCATGGGCCCTGTGGAATGTAGTCATGGACTTCATTTGGTAAGCTGGATGGCTTCCCAGCGATCAGCAATTCCACTGTGGCCTGAGACAGAAACCGAAAGACAGAAGTTGCTATATTTGCTATGAGCCAAATGTAGTCTGAGCCATTAGAACAACAAGGGGGTCTTTAAAGGATTGTTTCTGTAGAGCCTAGACAAATAAAAAGCTTGAGATTCACCCAGAAGTTTCACCTCCAGTGTTCCACCTCCATTTTCCAGGTCTGCCAAGATTTTTTTAAATTGACCTGACAAAGAAGATTGAATAACTGTCTCTTCCAACAGCAGATGGGCAGCCAAAGGCTTTTGGGCAAGCAGTCCTCTGGCAGCAGAAGGGGTTATACATTTCTGACTCAGAAATTCTTAGATAAAATATAAGCATCAGTAATTATCACTGAAGAGGCTGTAGGAACTAAAAGCAAGGACAATAATTCTGGCAAATCTTAAAGAGAGATCAGATCTTTGAAGCATTAATGGTGCATTCCATTTGATACCTTTTCACTGAAATCTTCTGCATATTTTTATTCTTTGTACTGTGCCTGCACGCTCCTTTTAGCATTTTGATATGGTAACCAGGTAAATTCCACCTGACACTCAAATCTTCATACCAGTGGTCTCTAAGGACCTATGAAGAATGAGATATTAGGATACAATATAATACAGTTCCTTATAATATAATACAGTTTTCATATTAAACATAGAAATTTTCCATTTCCAAGATGCATAATACAACAGTTTAGAAAACAATGTTATACGCAGCACACATCAAGTTTTGCCTATTATAGATCAGCATATCCCAGTGGAGCCAATGGAGTTATACCAGTTAGCAGTAGTTAACAAACGTGTTGGTCTTATATTGATTTTTTTTTAAGCATTACATGCATTCTTACAACACAGTTCAGCAACCTGTGTCTCTCCTGACACTCATGTGGCCCCATGTGCCATCTAGTGGAAAAGGTCAACTTTAAAAGATACTGTCAACCTGAGTTAGGAGGGTTTACAATGGAAAATGAAATGGAAAACAAATACTAAGGAAAAAGGGAGTCTTCTATTCTGAAGGACAACATACTTTCAAACGCAGATATATTACAAGTAGGTGGATAGGGATAATATTTGACACTTTGTAATTAATCTTACAATTATTTCCAGTGTAAAACACTTTTGAGTCTTTAACTGCATAGAAATCGATATGGACTGAGGGACAAAAGGACTTATTTTTCTTAATCTAGTGATTAGTCTTGATTCCATAAAGGCAATCTGGAGAAGGACAAGAAAGATAAAGGATAAAAATAGAAAAGTACATGTGGAACTCAGAATTTGAAGGAAGTAGTAAAAGCAGTTCTTATAACTGATATCAATTTTCCTGAAAATGCTGATGTATAAAATGTCTGA